AAGTTCTTCTGACAGTGAAGCATGAACTTGCTTAAAGTGCCTCACAGAACCAACCCTTGGCAGCATTTGTGAAATACTTCCCCTGGTAAGCAAGTGGGTTATCATGAACTGAAAGAAAAAAGGAAACAGTATTTGAGTTGCAAGGAAGAGTAAAGCGCATTTAATCCAAAACAGGCTATTGCAGCATACACGGGTTACTTATGGAGTTCAGTAGCTTTAAAATAGAAGTCATCTTGCTGTTAAATTTGCCACATGCAGGAAGAATTAATCGCGTAGAAACACACACATGTGAGGTTGGGCTCTGCAGAAGTCAAAGCCCTGGAAGTTCAGGGGCTTTTACAACTTCGAATGCAGCATCTTAATTTTAAAAGGGAAACATTCAGCTTGCAGCAACTTGCATAGTAGCATTCCGAATGTTTTCTAAACAGCTATTAATGTAGTCAAGCTGTGTTTTTTCTCCTTGTGTGTGTAATCATCTGCTCAGCGTTGCGCTCCATGGCTGGGAGCACGAGACAGAGGAGTGGCCTGCTGTGATTGATGGGCCGAGGCCCCGCAAGCTGAAGGAGTCCCATCTGGATTAGGTTTTGGGAGCCGTCGGATGCTGAGAGGGAGGTCAGTAAGCCCCGCATTAGCTCCCCCTCCTTCAACACCCCTATCGTCCCCTCTCAGACCCGCTGTACCACGCTCGCACACCCGCGTCCATAGTTGGTGCTTGCTTTGGGCAGATGCTGTATGGCCTGGGACTAGAGCAGCTGCCAAGTTTATGGAGGATAAAGGGAGCAGGATGGTACAGCAGGTATTTGCACTTTTATTTTCACTTGAAACGCTCATTTTGAGTCAAGCCGGGGCATTTCTTATATCCCGCGGCACCAGTGCATGCAAGACTCTTCAAATCCATGTTTTGTTGCTTAAGTCATTCTGAAATAGGGAGAACTGCAGCAGCGATTACGTGTCTCTGCTGTGCTTGATGTATCTAACTGAACCGTTCTTATAACCAGCAGGTTTACAGAGTAATGCTGCATTTTTCTTCTTTGTTTCCATGCCCTGAGGATATGATGCAGTTTGGCTCATTTAACTATAGTACTAGAGAGGCTTTCTCTAAATGTGAAATATGTCTTGCCAAAGAAACAAAACACACCAAACTGAAATAGAGTAAAACAAACAATAAACTGTTACTTAGACTTTAAAATGTAGGCAGCCAGAAAGGTTTTCACTGCATAAATACAGTTTTATGCTGCAAATATGTTTTGAAAATGGAACGCCGCCTAAGTAATATTTTCTGTGCTGTCTTTTGTGTACAAACATAACAAGCTTGCTTTATTGCATTTTGACACTTTTCATGCATTTTTTAATTATGAAATCCTTTCAGAACAGAAGATGCTGAAAAGGCATGTTGAGATCTGAGATCCTGGGAGCGTTTTTAAATCCCTAAGCTTTTCTTCAAATGGAGTAGTATATACAGAATAGGAACAGTTTCACTTACCTACGTTGTCAGAAGGCTCTCTAGTTTTGCTCTGTGCAGTTCAACATTTAGGCAGAAAGCAATAAAGTTGATTTTATACACTGCCACGTAAAGCATATTTTTCAGTTGAAATGTGGTTTTCATTAAATCTCAGGCCAAAACATTTAGCAGAGCCTGACTGTCTGCCATCCTTTGTTCTTCTTTCCGTTGCCAACAACTACTTTATTAAAAACCATGCACAGAAGTGAGCATTAAGGGGGTCATTTAAACTTAAAGTAAAGCTCCTTGGATCAGAGTCTGGAATGACAACATCTGTGTAGTCTCGCATGCCCACATTGTACCAAACCATCTCTGTGCACCGTTAACTGCCCTTCAGGATTACTCTCGTACCTGAGTTCGAAGGCTGATTTAGGATCAATGTTTCCTCTTGCGTTCAGGGCAATTTCATGTTCTCAGCTTAATGCCTTAGGCCTATTAGTTCTTTCTTTTCCCCCCCCCCCTCCCCCCCCCATTTTAATTCCCTTTGTTTTAAAGGGCACAATAATGTGTCATTTTAGATGGCCATACCTAAGGAATTTCTGGTTCGTTAAGATCCATTCAGTTGCAGCTGAGTTTTGCGTAGCCTGGAATTTTCGTCAACCACAAGTATGTGCAAATATCTATTAGCTTAAACTGCATTGTTTCGAATCCCAGATCATATTTTTTAAACTGTTGGTGTGAGACACATCTTAGTAGTAAAGAACATGTGTAGACATAGGCGCTTTTATGCTGTATTGTAATGCCATGTCTATTGGGGTCGTATACATAAAGAATTCACGTTACTTTTAAACCTAAAGAAGGCTGCATTAGTCTGCTGCATTTGAGAGACAAATAGCTCAAGTTTATTATTACTGTCATTTCAAACTTTGACAAAAGCAGAGTATGCAAGTGTAACACCTTTAGCTCTTTTTCCTTTCTTTTTTTAACAGATAATTTAGTAAATGCGTAACCTTACATGCCTCTTTCCTATATATATATATATATGTATATATATTTTAATATGGCAAGCCTGCAAACTTTTGAGTATGTAGAAGTTATATAAAAATACTGCTTCTTCACCGTTTCTTGCATTAAAACGGGGACTCTATAATAGGGGACCCAGCCCTCGCTTGGTGCATCGGGGCAGGGAGGCAGAGGGCCCTGGGCAGCGCGGAGGGGCCGGAGCTTCCAGCGCTCCCTGCTCTTTCCCGATAATCCTAAAAAAGTGAAGCATTGCAAGTTGCTGGTAAGAAATCATATAACAGCTCAATGTTCTTAATTAAATATTAGCTGTAATTAGCACTAAGTGTGACTGCTTCGAATATTAATTAGGGTCTCCTGGAACTGCTGTCAATGTTAATGAGAAACAGTGGGGGTCTCGGCAACATCTGTTTTTGCGACTCGAGGTGGTATAAAAGCCGTTAGCTGAAATGCACCTGGACATTACTGCCTGGTCCCTTCTTGCCATTATTGTGCTTTTTTAGCATCTGCAGACCCTAGTGCCGTGGTTAGATCTGACGTGAAGGGCTCGGTTATGGACCAGAGGTAACCAGCTCCTGGGCTTCAAAGCCAGCCCAGTAAACCTGAGTCTATAGGCCGGACTGCAAGGCGTTCTCCTTCAAGTTGCTTATTGAAGGACGTCTTAAAACATGGAAAAAAAAATCAACGCCTCCTCCTCCCAAAATGTTTTTGAGGCACTCATTTAAAATCTGATAAATCTTTTCCTGCTGCTTGCTATTTCATGTCAGGGATTTGTTTTTAACAGTGAGAAAATATTAAGTGTGGAAAAAAAAAAGAAATGGACCTTAACATTTTAGCCCAAGAAGGTGTAGGTTTACCCTTACTAAATGGAAATTACGAGGATTTTTAACCTCTGTGGAAATCTAAATTGTAGCATATTTCAGTACAACAATACCTTTCGTATTCGTATAAATTTCGTATTCGATTCGTATAAATGGAGCTTCCTGGCTTAACCCTGTGCAGTAAATCATGGTAGGTAAATGACACTGTTTTCATTTTAAACATGGTTGAATGAAACACTGTAAAAGTACTTGCTCAGGGTCATACACTAAAATGGCAGCAAAGATGGGATTAAAATTGGAAGGCTTTAGTTTCCCACTATAATACTTAATTTTCTAGGGCACAAAGCCTTTTCAATGGAAAATGTAATTTTCATTTCTAATCCTGCCATATACTCAAGGCTTTTTCATGTGCAGTGGTTTTCAAATTTTTGAAAGCTCCTGAATTTAGACCTAATTCAAATCAGATCACTGATGTCTGAATCAGTTGAAAGTGTTTGGAAAAGCCTTGAAGTATGAAATGCAGAAGAATGACTTTTTTTTTTCTCTCAGTCTAATTTGAATTTACGAAATCAAGAAATCAAGAACTCATGAGGGCCAAGAAACAAGATGCTCCCATTTTTTCCTTTGCAAGTACTTGTACATGCTGTGATGGGAGAATGATAACATATATGAAAAACTTCTTTCATTTTTACTGATTTACTTATTTTGACATTACTTGATATTTATAAGAATAGCTTTACCTTGCAAGCCAGTTAGTCTGTCTCAGTGTAGAATTCTTTATAGCCTCTGTGGTGCCCTGTGTGGTGGCCTCTAATACAGCACTCTGCTTTGAGCATCTTTTAAATATATGCTAAAAGTTTTGTCTGTGTTTTCCCTCCATTATCATTATTTGGTATGACTATAGCATTTAATAAGACACATGTAATTGATACATTAATGCATTTGACTTCTTACTGTCAAACATGAAAGAGATCAAACTTCAGAGCGATGAGGGCAGTTGTTTTTTAATTATACAGATTCACTGCATTGTGTTCCAAAGTTGGAAGATTTTAAATGTATTTATTTTGACCTCTTACAGTGTAGAAATTTTCTTTTATGTTAGGTTAAGGGTTTAAATCGATGTATTTTTAGATTCAAATATTTAGTATTGTGATTGCAAACTTGAGTCTCATTGTTTTGTATTTGTGCAATGCAATTGCTCAGCACTGTCTATTGCAGATAGTTCTGAGTAGCTGACAAAGCATCACTTTGTAAATATTTTGATATATGTGAACAGTATATGCTTAAGTTCTGTTGTGTGGGGGATGAATGTTTATTCTGAAGACAGCAAATCATAACTGACCATAGACTATAATATAACAGGTACCTATAATACCTGTAATGACAGTTGCTCTCAGTAACTTTTGGAGTAAGTTGAGTCCTCTTCTGTGTTGGAGTTGAGGCATTAGTACAAACAGATCTCTCTGGCCTTTTAGAGTTGAAAAATAGTCTACACTTATCCAAGGAACAGCACTTTCACTTGTCTCATTGTAATATGATTGAATAGGGTTAGGAAAACTGGGATTTAATTCAGATAGGAAACTTTCCCCTGCAGAAGGAAACCGTGTGCCCTTTCCAGGCCAAGAATCTTGCAGGATATTACCGTGGCTTTCTAAATCATTTGATCTCACTCCGTTTTCTCGTTTCTTCTGCCCCTCGCCCTGCTTTGCTCCGCGCAGGGTAATCAGGAAGCTCCCGCACCTCCTGACACCATGGCGCAGCCTTACGCCTCGGCGCAGTTCGCTCCTCCTCAGAACGGCATCCCCGCGGAGTACCCGGCCCCGCACCCGCACCCCGCGCCCGACTACCCCGGCCAGAGCACTGTTCCCGAGCACACGTTAAACATGTACCCGCCTGCCCAGACGCACTCGGAGCAGAGCGCCGCCGACACAAATGCACAGACCGTCTCCGGCACAGCCACAGTAAGTCCACCTTTCGGCCGGTTTTAAAGCTGTGCATCGCGTCTTGCTTATATACGTGTGGATAACAAGTATTTTTGTGTTGCACTTAGTAGTTCTACACTTCATTTCTGCTCTCCGTTTGAAGGTTGAAAGCCCGTCCAGGTTTTTCTTTGAACTTGGATAATTCTATTTTTCTGCTTTCGGAGCCTCGCACAAACTGTGGGAGCTTGGTAGAATCTGTGCTTTCCAAATTCCTCTCCTACAGTATCAGACTGACAAAATGATTAATGGGAAGCCTATGAATCATATAATAATGTTTGACTACTTCTGGTCTGGCAGAACATGGGAGAACAGTGTTTGTTAACACTTATTTGAAAGAAAAGCAGGCATTTATTTTGTTATTTTTCATGACCTCTCTATTTTTCAGAAATGAGTGGATTTTTTTTTTAACAAAATTCTTAGTTGAATGATACTGTATTGAAGTTGCACAGCTATGTGATAATGGATTGCGAAGAGCGGGCCTTCGGTACTGGAATCTCCAGGGAATTTGTTCGTGCAGCTGTTAAGAAAGCTGTGTGTAGGACTGGACAGTGGTGAGCCACGGGGGAGAAATTAGTCACTGGAGATAGCAAACTATGAATGGCAATTACTCAAAATAGTGATCTGCAAGTAATAAAGAGACTTAGATATTTCCCCAACATGTTTGTGAAAGAATATAGAATCCTGAAAATGTTTGTGCAAAGGAGTATGGTTTTGAATTGAATTTGAAGTTACAGAGATGGCCAACATTGATGTTCAGTATCACTTCTCAGCATCAAATTTGCCTTTAAGTTGTCCTTACAACTTCCTGAGATGGAATTGCAATTGCTGATGCACTCATATGTTGAAAACATTCCTTAAAATTGTTCTGCTGAGGACAGAATTGGTAGACTTTTCCTCTACTTGAATTAGGTAGTCATGAATTGTGGAGGAGACTCCTTGGATGTGAGTCCTTACCTTGGAATTTAAGGCACAGATTTCATACTGTGATAGTTTAGTGCTTCTATCTGAATTCTAGATCAGGACCCGGGGTATCCAATACAGATGGTTGGCAGATTTTGGAACCATCAACCACCTGCATGAAGTGTTGAAGGATCCAGCACAGATTAGACAGCCCACTGCAACTGAGCAGACATTTGGAGCAGCCCTACTTGTCCTCATTATCCTTGCTGCAGTCATGCTCTGTACCTCATTTTGCCCTCTTTATTCCCTGTCACCTGTCCTACTTGAAAGGTTTCGTTCATTAGGGCAAAAAAAAAAAAAAACGAAGGAAAAGTTTGGATCTGGAAGACTCAGAGTGGAAGAGTCTTTAGGGAAATGCTGCCTATTATGAAATGACTCTCCTCTTCTTCAGCAGCTGAAGGTTTCCAAGGCATCTTTTCCTCCTTGAATAAGGAATTTCTTCCTTTAAAGGCTCATGGGAGTGCTCATCTTTATGTGCTGGGGAGAATGAAAAGCATTTATTTTTGAATGAGTTGTTCTAAAGATTTGTATGCATCTTGCCCTGTCACTAACATCTTTGTATGGATATGAACAAGAAAGAAAAACAATATATATAGATATATATAGATATATATGTATATATATATATATAGAGAGAGAGAGAGAAGGTTTTTTATATCTAGAGGTTTAGGATTTAAGAGTGTAGAAGGGCAGGTAACTTCTTTTTCATGTTAGCAAGAGATCCCTTTCAAAAAGAATGAAGGCCTTGTAATGGATAGTCAAGAAAAAAAACATACAAGTCTTTTTATTATTCCCATAGCAAGGTCATCACGGATCTATGATTATATGTGAAGCCCATATGAATTTTGTGCCCCGACACATTCAAATAGACACACTTAAAAGAAAAACAGCAGCAAAAAGTATTCCCTGCCATTGTCACAAACTGGGGATGTAATCGGTGACGCTCCCACCTCCTCCCCAGTAAAGCAGCTCTGTGTCCCTAGTGTGAGTTGCCCAGGTCTGGGGTTTATGCAATCCATTCCATCAGTCTTTTAATTTCAGAAGTGGTGTCTTTCTATTGCACTGAGCGACCCTCTCTTCCAGTAATGTGGGAAAGGTTAAGTGTGAAAGCATCCTATTTACCTGCATCACTTAGGGCTATATGCAGCTCTACAGCATCCCTCTATTCAGCTCCTTGTTAAATTCCTCATCATCACAGGTTTCTAAGTTTTTGTGCCATGATCGATTTTGCCAACCATTATTGCAACTCACTGCCCTCCGTCTGGAAAGAGAGCTCTAAACTGAACAGATACTCCACAAGACATCGTATATTGATTAACAGAATAATTGTCTCCATTGTCCCTGTCTCATTTTTTATATCCTGCTATATAACTTGCTCTTCCAAGCACTGTTGCGTGTTGAACAGTTCACGGCAATGCCCAGCTCTGCCTTTTCCTATCAGCAGCCTGTTGGCCTTTATACCATCCGGTTCTGAAGTAGAAGACTGTCCATGCTAAGATCATCGGTAAAATGTTGATGAGAGTGGGGCAGGAGCTCACCCCTAATGACAGGGCTGTCAGTTTACTACTCTGATCTCTGATCCCCTTTTGATTTTTCAGTTTGAAGTTTCTCTTTGTCGGAAAAGTCGGGTACGCATTTCTCCAACATCCCGCAAGCAAAGGCTGATGAAAAGAAATCATGTGGATTGCCTGCAATGTCCTTATTATCCTTCAAATGCTCTTTCAAATCTCACTCCAGCAAATCCAGTGATTCCCTTGCAAATTTGCTGCTTCTGATATACTAAGAGGTTTTATTGTTATTTGTTTTTGTCTCCCTAGCTATCTGCTCTTTTTATTTCCTCTTAGCCTTCCTAATATCCAACTTGCATTGTACCTGTCATACTCTTTCTCCCTTCTGGTTCCATTTTGGAATGAATTTCCATTATCTGAAGGGTAGCTGTTCAGTTTTAGTAACCTTTTGTATTTTGCCAGTTTAGTGTACTTAGTTCTTTTTTTTGTTAGAGATCTTTTGTTTGCCTCCGGTTTCCTGTCTTTCAAAGGAATATACATTCTTTGTTTAAGAAGCTCTCACACTGAGCATAAAGACTTAATTTCCTTATTTTCGACTTTGTTTTTGGGGGGTTTTTTGTTTGGAACTTTTTTCTAAATTTTAATGTTGAAAGCTGTTGATACTGACTTTCAAGGGAGAACCAAGCATTACAAATAGACATTTACAAGAAGTGTATTCACTATGCATCTGCAGTGTTCAGTGTAGCCTTAACAGTTAAAATGCCACTTATTAGTTGAACTTGTACATATTCGCAAACAAATACTTGCACAGATTAATAAGAGAGCTAGATCTTAAATTTGTTATGCTGTGTCTCATTAGCATCAGACTTCTTAACACACTGTAGATAGATATACAGAGCAAACTCAGGCAGAACCCCACTGATTTGAGAAGAGCTCTGTAATATTACGAAGGTCCAGCTGTGTGCATCTCTTTGGGAGTTGTAGTTTGCATAATATATGTCTTAATTATGAAATAGAACTTTAATAGCTCCATGTCAATGGTGTAACTCTATTTAACTTTAGGTTCACTTGAAGTAAGTTGAATTATGTGTCTTTAAAACAAAGCTGCTGACTGGTTATGTGCAAAAGGACACTACTGTGATTAATGTAGACGAGCTGCTGAAGGAAGCTGTATATGGCCTTAAAAAGGCACATTACAGCTTTGAAATATGAAACTGAAAACTGTAGAGGATTTCTTTATTTGCAGAATTGCTATCTGAACTGACTTGCTTCCCCTGTGAAGGACTTAATCGACACAAAGCCTAGACGTACACTTGGGTTTATTCTGTGCATCTCATTTTCTTTCTGGCTGAGAGTTTCACAGATTGAAGCTAGAGCTCACATAGCATCTTGTGCAACCCAAACCACATTAAAGATATAAAGAATAACGATCAAAATAAGCAAGTTATGTGAAACTTCTCTTGAATCCTTTATTGCAGTGTCAAGAGTGGTTTGGGCTCAGTTAAAAACCAAGGCAGTATCCTTCTTCAAACTGAGCAAGATTTCAGTCATCTTCTTGATTACAGGCTTGCAATTTTGTGCACGTTAAAGTGCTCTTAAATAGTAAGTCAGTAGACTTGATATCTTAATTAGTAGAATCTATAGGCTTTAGTAAATGTTTCCTGAGTCTCGTTTGATCTTTCAGAGACTTTCCAAATGAATATAAAAGCCAAAATGACAGTGTTTTAAACTGACCTTGAGGTGATGCAGGATATTAGTGATTATAGCCTTACAGAATTTTCTATATGCTATGCCAGCAGACACGTCTAAGCTGAAGAGAATGTACATTTTAATTAAAGCTAAAATATTTTACTGTGAATTTTATTTCTCTGACATTGCTAAAAAAATACTTCTTTGCATGTTACAGTTAACTACTTCAAGTGTAATTTCACAGGTGACCTTTTGGCAGTGAGGATGGCGATTTGTGTACAAATGCATTTCCTAGTGAAGATATTTTTAAATATTGTTTGATATAACAGTGTAAAGCAGGCTCCATTAGGATATACGTTGGATATGGATGGTGATTAGATTCTGTGCATAATGATTACTAATACATTATTTTAATGTTATGAAACAGGGGAAGACATACAGGATGAATGAGAAGTAGGCAGTGCTTAAACACAGGATGATTTAATCAGCACGATATAAAATAATCTGGTAATAAGGTACTTTCCAAAATTATTTTGAATCTCCTCTGCAAAATATGGTTTTCCTCTTTATGGATCAATGAGTTCGTTAAAAATTTTCACCATGGAAGCTGTCTATCCTTGTGCATAATTGTTGCATAAATGTATTGGGTTTTGTGTGAGCTTGTTCGAGTTTTGGAGTGCTGGTAGGTTTGGGTTTCCATGGCATGAAACATGCTTTAAAATAGAAACAGAAGTAGTAAATTGCTTCTTTCAGGATGGATGGATCTATGACAACGATGTGTTAAAATTATAATAGGAGTAACAGGTGGCAATTTTTCAAACT